CTTATTTAGTAATCTTCATTTTTCAATCTTTAGAAGGAGCAAAAATAGAACCATTTCCTCACTGGTTTATTGATGCAAATGGAAAGCGAGAAGTCAAGGAGTTAGGTGAACTTTTAAACAAAATGCCAAGTTTCCAACGTGTCACTGAATTAATTTTAAAAAGCTATGACAAACTAAAATTGTCGGACGATATTTTAGGTAAAAGTGGTTAACAGACAAGTTATGATCAATTGGATGCCAACATTTTGATTCATTTTAGGATTATTATACTGGACTCTTATTTTAAACCTCAAACCTCATTTGATGACTTTAAGTGGTCGAAGACTGCAAAACAGCTTCCCATCTTTGTTTTTAAATTCGTCCAACTTCAAATACATTTTAGACAACTCGGTGCCAAAATATATTTTTAGAATGATACCATCATCCAATAGTTTATTGGAAGAAAGGTAACTACTAATTGTGATAACATTTCTGAAACGGAATTAAAATGCTTGCATTTTATTTAGGTACAAGAAAGAGCTCAGTGTAGTCGAAGGTTCCAAAATCAGGGTATATCTGCCAGTCAGTATAATGCACCTTCATAATATTTTTCACCAAGGGCCTTTGGCCAGCGGTCCTGGATCCATAAAGGTAAACAAGACTAAATTCCATTCAAATGTTTTATATAACATCCTGCTATTTTTAGTGGGCTCTCTTCACAAAAGATTTACAAATAGCAGTTGAAAATAGTCCCTGGTGCCAATTACCTAATGGAAGCGATCTAGGTGTGAAAATGAAGTGCGTCGTTGTCTGCTCCATTGTTAATAATCCTCAAAAAGTCAGGCAACATTTTATACCTAAAAGAGTTAGAGGTCTTTTGGCACAACAGTTCCTGGTCGCTGATGGTAAGTAGATGTTTACCCATAATTCTATTTTTGTTTTTTAAAATGTGTAAATTTACAGAAATCTTCAAACCCAGTTCGGATAATTTGAGTTACTACCGTAACTTAAATTGGCAAGATCATTCATCCGCCACGTCCGTTGTGGAAGCGGTCAGCTCCAATCAAAACTCTAAAGATCAACTAATTGGATCAGACAGCAACAACTTGTCACCTGGCTTTAAATCTTTGCCAAATATGAATACTAAAACAAACAATAGTTTTGCTGATTTGCACAAAAAATTACGGAGCAGAAACTCAGAACAGCAATCTTCAAAAAAGACAACTTATAATGAAAAGATACCTGATGGTACATTTGCACCTAACAAGATTGATCAAACATGTCCTGATGGTACATTTGCACCTAACAACTCCAAAATTTCTTGCGGGTTTAATAATGATTCTACAAACAATTTGCTATTGGATAGTGATGAAAGTGATCCGTACCTCAATTTAAACCACAGTGACGATGATGCTTCAGAGATTGTGTGGAAAATTGGAAATCCCTTGTCTACTAACGAGCTTTCCAGCAATGAAGCTCTTGTAAGCAAAACTTCAATGAAACAAACATCTAACATTAAGAGTCCAGTACCATCTGTGAAAATAACAACAACATGCAAAAGTCAACAACCAAGAAGATTGTCCAGTGAAAAGATTTTAACTTCATCAAACAAAAAGGTACAAATTCTGTTGAAAAAATCCTACAGCGATGATGTCTTGGTGTCAAGTTCAAGTACTAGTGACTCGTCTTTTGAAGTTATAAGTTCAATTTCATCAAATAACAACAGTAGCTCCAGTGTTGAACTTTTATCGTCCAACGACTCAAATCACAAAAATCCTGAAAAATTGAAATCAAAAAGTTTAACTTTGATTGATTCTAATGATTTTCTCGACTCTGATCAAGAAATTACATCTATAAGTTTGACAAACATTGACAAAGAGTTGAATCAGTTATCGAGTTATCCAGCATATGAAGATTTATCAACATTAGTAACTGACAACATTGATAAATCCACTCAGATAAACCAGTGGGAAACTTTAAGCGAGATACAAAAAGATTATCTAGATGCAACCACAAGAATGCTGAAAGAATTCTTTCCAGATGAAGAAATTTCTGGCTATATGGCCATGAACGATTCGCAGGATGTCACTTCTAGAGCACAAAGAATTTTGAATGAGATTTTGTCGGAAGTTCTGGAAAACCAGCAGTTAATGGAATACGAGCCTATGTCAACGATTTTGCTGGAAAATAGCAAACCTGTGCAAGATTTTGAAGACTCCAGTAGCTTAAATTCTTCAATAGAATCTACAATGTCTTTAAATGTCGACAAAATCTCATCAAACATTGACAAATCGTCATCAAGCTCTAAAATTCCGTTAAATGAACGTGTAGATTTAAATGAATCCGTAGGCCAGTTTGAGGGGATTACGATATCAGAAAATTTTATAGAACATGTGGTCAGTGACAACAGTTCTGACAATTTACAAAGGGCTTCAAAGTGGCAAGACTGGAAGTCTCCAAATTTTGGACCAGAGGATCTAGAAGCGTTTCTGAACCAAAATGGTAAATTATTTACAACAGAATTGATTTAGAACATTTTCCTAAACTTTTGTTTTTCAGAACCAAAAGAAGAAGAGCCAAAAGTCGGTTTAGCTAAATGTGTCTCACATTCAAATCTGCTGAACCAGTTTGAAGTCAAGGAACCAAAATTGGATGAAAGTTTAGGCGAATATGATCTCTACTACACTTTGTTGGATCCCAATTTGGCAGTTGCAAGATATTTCTTGTTTTTTGAACAAACGGATAAAAATGCAGGTAAAAATTTCAAACAAAAAGTTGGCAAATATAAATTTTTCTAAACTTTTTTTTCCAGGGGCCGAACACCAGACTTCTGGAAATTCAGAACTTGTGCAAAATGTTGAAAGTTCAGTCTTGAGTGATAATTCTGATGATATTTTGGATTCGGACAAATCAAAAACGATATTGAAATTGGATGAAAATTCAGTCTTGAGTAAAAATCCTGATGATGATTTGGATTCGGACAAACCAAAAACGATATTGGATGACTTGCATTATTATAAAATGGTTTTGGGTTTAAGGAAAAAAGCAAATACGGAATTTTGGTTGTGCACCACTATTATATTGATGATTTTGTTATCGTTGTTTCTTAGCGATAGAATGAAAGAAGAGAAATAGTTGAAAAACTTGTTTTTATAAGTGTATAGTACAATTTACAGTATTTTGCTATAAGACAAAAATGTGGAAAATTTCATAATCTAAAATATTGTAGAAGACTGTATTTAAAATTATAGGCTTGTATAAAAGTTATAGTTAAAAATGTAAAAAATGTTCAGACATTTTGAATTTGCAAATATAAAGTATATAGAGGCCTAAAAATTACTTGTAAAAGACTATGAGACTAACTTATAGATAATTTGTAAAATAACCGATTTTCTAACTTTTGACGACGTTTTCTCAAAAACGGCCGGACCGATTTTACAAGACCATTCGAAAGATATTGATTGGGAATCGTGTTTATTAGTTTTTGGTAAAGATCGGCCGAGCCGTTTCTTCGTAATTACATGTTGAAGATCTTTTTGTGTATGTGAGCCAATTTTTGACCTTTGTCGACATTATCTCAAAAACGACTGGACCGATTTTGCAAATTCAAAAACCATTGGAAAGATATTGATTGAAAATCGTGTTGATTATACTTGGTAAAGATCAACCGTGCCATTTCTCTGTAATTATATGTAAAAACTGCCATTTTTTGCACATTTAGCGCCGCATCTCCGAAACAGCTGGACTTGCCTTTGCCAAAAACTAACCACCGCTTCTCCCCATCATTACGAATTGAATGTTTTTTAGATAATTCAAAACGGACGTTCCGTTATCTCAAAAACTAGATTTCTATTTTCTGCACTCTTTGCACCGTAACTCCGAAACGACTGGACCGACCTTCACCAAAAACTAATCGGCACATCTCTCTATCAATAGGAATCGAATGTTTTTTGAATCATTGAAATCGGTTGATTCTGGGGATAAAAAATTGTAACCATACATACACATACATACATATCCATTTTTTCTGAGGCATGCCAAAATGTTCAGAAACCTTTGAAACGTGAAGATATGCAAAAATATTCAATTTCGATTTTTGGACGATTACAATAACTTACCCTACGGGAAGTTAATAGATTTATTTAATTTACATAATTATAGATATTATTAGTATGTTTCAAAGATATCAATTGAAAATAGTTTTTACATTTTATCCACAACTCTTCTTTTATCTATGATTTTATCTAAATAGATAATTAAAATTCTTGTTGATAAAGTCGAGTATTTACAAGCTCATGTAACTTGCTTGTAAGGCACAATGCTACTTACAACTAATTTTATTAACTAATATAAAAGTTAAGATTAGAAATATGAAAAAAAACATTTAAAAATTTGAATTTGGCGCTATTTCAAACTTTGCCAAACCTCATGGATGTCTCTTTCAGCCAATTTGTTTATAATGGCATATATATTTAAATAGCTAATTTGTTTATATATTTACAACTTGCCTTAAGGCAAAATGCTACTGACAACTAGTTTTATTAACTAATTTAAAAGTTAAGATTAAAAATTTGAAAAAAACATTTAAATATTTGAATTTGGCGCTATATCAAAGTTAGTCAAATCTCATAGATGTCTCTTTCAGCCATTTTGTTTATAATGACATGCAAATTAGACAGAAAGTTAGACTTTTAGGTTAGAATTGATTTGTGACTAAATAAACTTAAACAAATGTGATAAATTGCATTAAAATAATAATAAAATGATATTAATAATATTATTAAATAATATTTAGTCATTTAATACAAGTTTACAAACGTACTTTCATATTTAGTCTTATTCTGTCAAAATTTTGAGGTTAGGAGTGATTTGTTAATAAAACTTAAATAAATATTAATATTAAATCATAAAGACTGTTTAAACGTTAATAAAATGTAAACACATTGACATTCCTAAATGATATTTTGTAATTTTATAACATTTTCATAATATAAATAGTGTTATATGTATTTTGGAGCAAAATGTCTCAAGAGACACAGATAAATACTATTATTAATAATATACTAGTAAGTTTAGTAAATATATAGTTAAATTATATGTATATATAACATATATATGTACAATAAATATTTATGTATATATATATAAATATTTATATCTATAAGCGATCCTTGTTCGACTAAAGTTTTCTTAGTCGTTTAACAATAACAACAGTAAATTGTTGTAAAAAATGCTAAAATCCATAGAGTACTTTTATTTTAAACTGTTTTTCATTTGTTCTCTTGCTTTCGATCATATTATTACTTTTTAAATTAATTGTGGTCCTTTTTTACTATTACACAATCTTTTTTATATTAAAGATTGTAATCGTAAAATTGTAGGAATATAAAAAGGCTTTAAAATTACAAAATTTGAGGCCTGTCCTGTTGTTACGGTGGTAAAAGTTATTCTTGGATTTATCATCAATTCTTTTGTAATGAAAAAATATTATAACGAGACTTTTATCATTATTCAATGTTTGTATCATTTTTGTCTTTATAATAATATTTTACATTGTAATTTATATATCTGGTAAATTACTCATCATTTTACATTGTCCTCCTGCTTTTAGTATTTCCATTACTTTTTAATTATTCTATTTTTTTATTATTATAATTTTTATACCTAACCTAACAGGAAAACAAGAAAACTTGTAGGATTAAAAATAGGCTTTAAAAATGCAAGAATTTTTCATTGATTTATTATAAATTTTTTGAAATGATAGTTTTTATTATATATACACCTAAGTCTGTTTTTACACGGAGATTGGTTCCAGAAGAAGCCGTGTAAAAAAAAACGTGTAAAAAAAGACATTGACAAAAATGGGTGATTTGTCCTACTCTCTAAAACCTATTAAAATTAGTGAAAAACAAGAATTTTCAAGAACAAGAATTCATGTTTATTTTAATAATAATTCCCCTAAATTAGTGCTATTCACATTTGCTTTGACCAGTAAAAATTGTTTGTAGGCGCTAAAGGGGAATTCACTTAAATCTTTAAGCTAGTGTTCGCAAACTATCGATACTATCGATGGTTTCACACTTTTTTCTTTCATAAATACATTGTGATATGAACATACTTCGCAAAAAAATTTGACAAAAAAATTTAAGTACATAAAATTTCAAATCGTGCTAAATGGAATAAAATCGTGTAAAAAAATTAAAAATATTCAATTTCAAACCGTGTTATATCAAAACCGTGTACAAAAAGACCGTGTAAAACAGACTTAGGTGTATATATTATGTTCACTAATCAATTAATTCACTACCATATGTAGATTTATTTATTATTTGTTTATATAAATATTACTTTATAAATGATTGTTTTCTTCTCCAGAAAGTTGATGGGATAGAAGAATCCTTCTCTTGTTTTCTATCTCACAAAAATGACGCAGAAAATGAATCCATGGCTCAATACCAATCTCAATTGGGCACAATTTTTTCATCGTTGTCTCAAGAAAATTTAGAAGCTGCTATCAAATATTACTTAAAACAAACAGCAACTTTAACTAACCACAGCAAGTTGAAGTGTTTGTTGGGACTCCTTGAAAAATTAGTTGGGAGCAATGTTTTACCACCAAGGTAATAAATAATCAATTATAAATAATTATATATAGAATTCATGAATGTATTTTCTTCCAGGGTGGTTTGTGAAAGCATTCTGGCTTGCGAGAAGCTGGTTTACCAAAACCAGGAATTCTGGATTGAATGTTTTAATTTGATGCGCAGAATCATTGGAGGTGTTGACTATAAAGGAGTTAGAGAGATTATGAAGGTATCAACATCTAGATTTGATCCTACATTAACTCATTTGACCCTTATTTAGTTATTAAGATATTTCTTTCCCTCAGGGTTGCAGAGAAAAGGCCCAGACACTGCCCCAGGTCTTGAATTCCAGTTCCGTACCACAATTGAGAGCCTTGGAAAATGTGATTGAATATATTTTTGATAGAAATGCTTGTTGCTTCCTGGTTACTTCATAGTGACAGAAATACAAAAGGCTTATCCTGATAACAAAAATTGGCCACATTGGGTAATTATCAAGTCATTAAACTAATCAGCAATGGTGCCAATAATTGTAAATGTTTCAATTTATATTTTGCAGAAATTAGCCAATCTCTTCTCATCCTTTGTGGAAAGTTTTAGAGCAACTGCCCAAATGGTGTCAGTCATTGGACATTCTCATATGTTACCAGTTGTAGAACATACTGGTTATGCTGATCATCTAATTAATCCCTGGAAATTAGACAGTACCACATTGAAGTTTTCTTTAAAAGGTAAAAAAAGATATAAGGTGGATTTATAAAGAAATATTTCATATTTGTTTGTTTGTTTGCAGGAAATTTGCCATATGATGCTGATTTGTTGAAGCCACAAACTGAATTGTTGAGATATGTTTTGGAGCAACCGTATTCCAGAGATATGGTTTGCTCGATACTAGGACTTCAAAAACAAGTATGTTGCATATTATATAACAAAAACAAATGTTACAACTCATGAGTCTTTTACTTCAGCATAAACAAAGATGTATAGCCCTGGAAGAGCAACTGGTAGCCTTAGTGGTTTTAGCTATGGAGCGTTCTGAGCAAGACACTTCTGATACCATCTCATCTCCAAGCAGTTCTTCTCAATCTGCTTCTGCATCTGGTGGAACTCCAGGATCTACCAGTGGAACTACGGCTTCTGGTGCAAGTCAATCTGATGATAACACTTGCACCAGCTCCCAGACTCATTGGTTGTGGTTGCATTTATCTTCTCAGTTGATTTATTTTGTGCTGTTTCAGTTTGCCAACTTTTCAAGTGTTGTTACTGCTTTATATGACAAGGTAATAAAGGAATGTGATAAAAAAATATGAGATGAGGCTTCAATAATATTATTTTTAGTTGTCCGGAAGAGATTTGCGCAAAGGCAGAGATCATTTAATGTGGGTACTCTTGCAATTTATATCAGGCAGCATTCAAAGAAATCCTGTATGTATAAATAAACAACTTTTGTTCCAAAATACATTGTCCAGTATTAATAAGTCATATTTTTTCTTAGTTGACTAATTTTCTGCCAGTGTTGCGCCTGTATGACTTACTGTACCCGGAGAAAGAGCCTTTACCAGTACCTGATTTTAACAAACCACAATGCACCCATAGAATGGCTGCAACTTGCATCTGGATACACTTATCCAAAAAGGCTCAAAGTGAACATGTTTCTTTGCATAGACCTTTGCCAATAACTCTTAAACATCACCATGAGTAAGAGTAAAAAAGCACATCAATAATTTCCTGAATGGAATTATAATTTTTCATCTATTTTTAGATTTCTCCAACATCTGGTGATGCCCAACAACACATCCCTATGTCTTGGTTCTGACTACCGAATAGTGCTCCTCTGCAACGCCTATTCCACAAACCAGGACAACTTTTCCAGACCAATGGCAGCATTAGTAGAAACAATTTTAGGAAACCAGAAGTCCACCATGGCTCCGAACTTCAGGAACCGGCAGTGTGAGTGGAGCAGGAGGAGGAGGAAGCAGTTCTGGAGTGGAACTGCTTCTGGAACTAGCGCTGGGAACTCTGGGCAGCATGCCAATAGTGAGGATAAAGGAGAAGGACTTACAGTCTTATCCAGCAGGATTGTAAATGAGTTTGATTTTAGGTTCCTTTGTCTATGAGCATCCTAGATTCTTTAACAGTGCATTCAAGATGTCTTTGATCCATTCGGTGGTCACTCATGTCATCAAGTTGGCACAGACGCAAAACAAAAGTTCTCCAGGACAGAGCAACATGGCTCCTGCACTTGTTGAAACTTATTCAAGACTGCTGGTGTACACAGAAATTGAGAGCTTGGGAATAAAAGGATTTATAAGTACGCACACATAAAAAAGGTACTAAAAACTGCATTGCATCATGTATTGTCCATTTTTAGGTCAACTCTTGCCAACAGTCTTCAAATCTCATGCTTGGGTATCTTGTTTACGTTGTTGGAAATGTTTTCCTATCGGATGCACCATATTCAACCACATTATAGGGTGCAGTTGTTGTCACATTTGCATTCTTTGGCTGCTGTTCCTCAGACCAATCAGACACAATTGCATTTATGGTTATGGTTAGTAGATTGATTTAGAAGTATCAATTAAGAATTGATTAAAAACTGTTTTGTATCTTTCAGTGTTGAAA